GTGAAAGACAGAACTTCAAAAAGGTGAAAACCGCAGAGTTTTTGTATTTCACTCCTGAACTGTGCTATAAATACTGCCATTTATGCAGAACACAGATGAAGGACGTTGTCATGGTGCTCAAGCAATAGCCGTGTCATATCTATTCTCCATGAGGAAGAACGGTGGACAGAGACACCAGATAGGTGCATTATGGGTTAGGTAGGAGTGTTCTTGAGAGTGGGAGTGCACTAATACTACAGTCAGAAGAAAAAAGACAAATAAGCTACTTTCGCTCGACTTAAAGCACTAGCTCTTCAGAGAGTGGGAGTAGCTCTTATAATCTGTCTGGAAAACTTTATCCATGCACACAGTCGGCTGCCTTAAGCATTTGTTTTTAAGTGTGAAGAAATGACTAAATTCAAATCCAAAAAAAAAAAAAGCAACTCAACTTTTAGGTGAAGTAAATACTAAAGAAAACACTGTTATCAAAATATAAATCCAGTTTGTTTGATTATATCAAAACAGTTCCAAGATGCAATGCAGAAAAACACAAAGGAATAACAACGTTCCCTTCTTTTGCAATAAACAAGAAGTCTTGCACTGAAGGCACAGTTTTGGATCAGGACTGTTGAGTGCCACAACAAAACCTCATTATCGTGATGCATTCACAACTCCAGCTGTGAGGCTCCTCATTTGTTCCCTAAAAGCTGTTTTTCTTGACAAAGCTGAGCAAATGCATTTGAACGTAATAATAAGTGGTTGTACTTATATCTAATTATGTTATAACGAGTTCTTTTAAATATGAAGTGTTTGAAAATAATCTTTAATCCTCAATTGTACATAATATATTCTGTAAGCAGGGTCAAATTCTTTGAGTAAGGTGAGAATTTGTTTAGCTTACACTTCACCTCACAGACTGTCCTGCAAGAATAAAACAAGCAGGCAGCTTCAGGCTGTGTGGCAAATGTAAAAAAAAAACAATTAAAGGTGTCAGCTAATGTAATCAAAGTGTTTATCTGTAATTACAAACTAGAAATGCAGCTAATTTACTTGCTTATTTCCTAATCTTGAACACATGCTTATCTATTAAACTGTTTCACGTGTACCTTTAATGATTAATTTCTTGTCTTTAAAAGTTTCCCTCATTTGAATTCAGAGTGAGTGGAGTGAAGTTCACATTCATTTATCCTGCATGGAGCTGAGTGTCAAGATTATATCAGTTTGAAAACAAGCTCTGTCTAAAGCTTGTTGACCTTAGATTAAAGTCAATTAGTAAAGAAGGCAGTGGCAGCCACCATCCACATAAGGACAGCGCAACAACTATATATATAACTAAAACATATTATTTGCAAAACAGATGATAAGAACAGGAAGTTGAAATTATGTCAGTTGTCTATCCATAATCTAAAATGGTGTTACAAAATGTTAAAATATAATTGATGCTGAGATGTTAAGAATCAATAATCGATTCCAAGTTTGGAACTGATACCATAAAAGGGAATATACTTTTAGTATATAGAGTGAATACATAGTTAAATTGCCTCTCAGCTGCTCCCTAAGAGAAGTTTTAATTAATCCCAAAAAAACATGGTTATTTTTTGTGTAAGGGCATTGTGACACATATTTCTAATGATTCAGTGTCATGCTGAAACTCCAAACCATTTTAAAATATATGAGATGAAAAAAATGCAAAGAATTTGTGACTACTGAAACCTCATTATCTGGTTGAATCTCTCTAAAATAAACAGTTGAAGTCAGAATTATAAGCCTGCTTGAATTATTAGACTCACTGTTTATTTTTTGTCCAATTTCTGTTTAACAAAGAGCAGATTTTTTCAACACATTTCTAAACATAATAGTTTTATTGACTCATTTCTAATGACTGATGTATTTTATCTTTTCCATGATGACAGTAAAGGGGCTAATAATATAGACTTTAAAATGGTGTTTAAAAACTTAAAAACTGCTTATATTCTGGCCGATATAAAACAAATAAGACTTTCTCCACAAGAAAAAATATTATCAGACATTCTGTGAAAATTTCCTTGCTCTGTTAAACATTATTTGGGAAATATTTAAAAAAGAAAAAAATTCAAAGGGGGGCTAATAATTCTGACTTAAACTGTAGCTTTGACATTTTGAGATGGAAAGCAAAAAGATATCGTCATTGCAGATACTAAGTAAATACAAGATGTTTAGCTTTGGCCATTTTGTAGTAAAGCGTGTGCTTAAATGTTTAAAATGAACAGGCACTATGCCTTTCTGCAATTTTTAAAAAGTGATTGCTGGAAAGCGGTAGATCTACCAGAGCAGCTTTTATTGGAAACTGTAAAGTTTTATTGCAAAGCATCATTTGCTCAGACTGTTCTCTCAGTTAAGGTGTAATTTTTTTTTCATTCTGTGGTAGATTTTTGAAAATACAATGCAATTTTTTATAATTTTTAAAAAGCCAATAATCATGTTTGACAATTCTTGATTGATAAATCAACAAACTTGTCATCATGTTTTAAAACATTGTGTACCACTTGTAGTTTTTATTTAAGTAATTCATAAAATCATTCCTATAGATTATGGCTGTCATTTCAGTTATTTAATGTTTATTGTATTTGTCCTTAAAAAACTAAAACCTTAAATAAATAAAATCAGGCAGCACAGTTGCTGGTTTGAGCCTAGGCCTACCCATGTTGGCGTGGGTTTCCTCTGGGTGCTCCGGTTTCCCCCACAAGTCCAAAGACATGTGCTATAGGTCAATTGTCCATGTATGAGTGTAAATGAGTGTGTATGGATGTTTCCAAGTGATGGGTTGCAGCTAAAAAGGGCATCCGCATTGTAAAACATGCTGGATAAGTTCGCGGTTTATACTGTTGTTGTGACCCCAGATTAGAGACTAAGCTAAAAAGAAAATGAATGAAAAAATAAAATAAAATCTAATATCTGTTCACATCATGATGATGATGCAGTGTTTTTCAGTTTCATTTCAGAAGTTCTGGAAGTTCAACTAGTAGAAACGGGATCTCAGGTAGAGTGAGATTGTATAGTTTGTAGCAGGGTAGGGGGTTTGGCCCCCTAATTAATGCCTGAACCCCCTTGAAGGATGTTAAAACGTTTGTGCGGGAGGCAGTCTGTACTTAAAAGAATAAAAAATAGTTTGCACTGATCTGTTTCATAAATAATAAAAAAAGAAAAGTTTATATAAATATGAATTTGACCACCCCATAATGATTCATATTATTGATGCATTATTGTGCCTTAAAAAAAATATTCAGACAGTGGTCTGAAATTGACAGATCTAGCCTACAGATAGACACCACATGTGTCCATAAGACAACATACAATAGGTGAAAATAGGTAAGATTTAAAATAGGTAAGATTTAAAGGTGTTTTACACAAAGCCAAAAATAAAAATTAGACTCAACTTGTGTATTTTAATAAATAAATGAAATGTCATTAAATTGGTTCAAAATGTAACGCTTATGTCTTATGCATTCCCCCAATGTGTAATTTGTGCACTGGTTGAAGTCCAACCAAGGATTGTTTTGGATTGGATGGATCACTCAGATTGACAGCTCTTCCATTTACTGCAACTGGAAGAACAACCCTCATCCACCAGGATTTTATTACCTCTGCTTATTCTTTAAATGTTTTGATGTAGGATTCCCTCTGGACCATTTGGACCAATCAGAGTGGGTCGGTACCACCCTGGCCTTTATATAGCCTTCACCACTGGCTCGTTTTCACACTGATAATGTGCTTCAACTGAAACAAATGCATTTAACAATAAACACATCGGCACTGCAACCAGCTGCTCTTCATCAAGTGTGCTGCTTTTCTCCACTGTGAAACATCCTCCAACATGTAAGCTGACATCAGCTCCCATTTCTGCTAAAATAAATAGCAGCAGGAATGTCTTGTAAAGGATGCTTTTAGCTTATGTCAGTGCCAAAAAATGTCTTTTCATTCAGCTGGTGGCATCCAACGATGGTGAGAGTGGTAGACCACGGATGCCTTTATCACTGATTCAAGAGGGTGAAGAGTGTTAAAAGTGCAGATAAGAGGCTTTTGTGAATGCTGAAGTGTATGATTTATGCCAAGCTAATATTCTGGTTGCAACTGCCATGTGTACCGACCCAGAAGTGTACAAAAATTATACAGTAAGAATTTTTTGTAAAAAAGATCAAAGAAATTCTCTATTACATAAATTTGACTTTGCAGTGTGAATTATTCTATTGTGATGTTATACCAATTATACACAATCAGTTGTTTACAATTTACAAACGTGTCTTATTAATAATTTAATAGTCAATTCATATTTTACTAAAATACAATTATTAAACACTTTGTAATAACACCAGACAGACAGACAGACAGACAGACAGACAGACAGACAGGTAGGTAGATAGATAGATAGATAGATAGATAGATAGATAGATAGATAGATAGATAGATAGATAGATAGATAGATAGATAGATAGATAGATAGATAGATAGATAGATAGATAGATAGATAGATAGATATGTTCAGTAAAACATGCAGGGTGAGACATTAAAATTACAACATGAGTAAACATGTTTAAATGACTTCAATTGCTAGCAATGATAAAATTCCTTGCTCTCTGGTATAGGGCGCGCGCATCTGCATGGTTAAACAGGCAACATGCATGCGTTATATTTAAAAAAAAAAAAAGAAAAGAAAACTACGCCTGTATATCAGGTGTTCGAAACATCATTAATGACTTCCTTAGCCCAAATTATGCCTTTATAAAGTAAAAAACGCTTCTTCGATGGACCGTGCCATGCGCGCGCACTTCTGCTTTCGGTCTGTTGAATCAGCATCCAACTTTTTAGTGGCTTTCTAGTAAGAATTGCTGGTTTTACTAAAGATATGAGGTAAATAATATTATATCTTTACACAAATTGCGTGTCATTCCCACTAAATGGATTAAATACATGCAAACATCCACATTACCTCATCGACCGCAATCAAACACAGAGCTATTTAAAATACCAAAACAAACACTTACCGGAGAAAACACGAAGCCAAACGCTGAAGCCAATAAAACCACTTTTGAGGCGTCCATCGTTGCGTTTTCTTTGTTAATTTTTTGTTTATCGTGTAGAAACTTAAAAGTCCATAAAGTTTATCCTGCTTTACAAGCGCGTAAAAGCAACCTCAGTCAAATGTTATCGGACGCGGCGCTGGCAGACGAGTAAAACATAGCAAGTTTATATGTGTGAGCATCACTAGAGCCGTGAGTGAACTGTCCTCCGGGTGAGTGGCTCATATCGCGGCTCGAGCTGCTGACAGTTCAGCGACCAATGAGAGAATCACAGGCAGAGCGCGAGAAGAGCTTCACAGCTTCACTACTTGCAAGATGTTGACAATACACTGAAGACTGCATCACTAGTGTTCGTCATCGGCTTACGAATGCCTTTGTTGCGTTAGTGCGAAAGCAGTGGGTTAAATTTCAAGGTCTGTGCTCTTTGTGAACACCTGGCCGTAGAAAATGACTCAGGTGGGAGTTTTTTTTTCTTTTCCGTTATTATTGCTTTCTGGTGTGTTTAACAATTTAACCGGCGTCGTAAGAGACTGGGTGACCTCTTGTGCATGTATTAAAACTACAACCATAGTTTTTTTACGCTCAAAATTTGCTTAATTACGAGGACATTATATATAGGAGCTCACGATTTGTTGAAACAAATTACTAATTGTTTTACTTTGAGTGTAGTTAAAGTGATAGTTTTTATTATTTACTTGAACACAAAATAAGATGATATAAAGAAAACCTTTAACCGCATTAACTTCCATTGTAAAGAACAAATTGTCTTTTTTTGTGTTGAACAGAAGAATGAGAATTTGAAACAACTGAAGGATGAGTAAATAGTGACAGAATTAAAAATTTGGGGTAAGTTTAGATTGGGTTCAATCTAAATGACCACTGATATGTGTGAATTCAGAGTCACAAAGGTTATCTGATTATAAATTATTACCAAAATAAATAAATAAAAATCGTCACCTTCGAATTTTAAGGTTCTACTTGACATTTTTGTCAAAATTGAGTTATTGACATATTCTTATTAAATGACAACTTATTTACATTAAGGTATGTTTTTTTAATAAGTTGTTTACATTTTAGGACTTTTTATTTAAAAACAAAAAACAAATGTTACACACATACTGTTTGCTTTGGAATGCAAAAACTTATTTCTCAAAGTCATTTAGAATGCAGATAGAACCTTAGAATTCCAAGGTAATGAAATATTATGGTTAAAATTGTATCTCTTTTTTTTTTTAGATTTTTATATAAAATGGCTATACTTCCACTGGCTTCTGATTAGTCAAAAATTCTTAGTAGTCCAAAAATACTGAATAAACACAACTCCAAACATCACAACAATGTTCTAATAACAGCGAGATGTTCATTTAAAGAAAATGTTTACAGGAATAATTTCTACAAAAATGAGAATTCTGACTTAATATACTCATAATCGTATAAGAGTTTTTTCAATATGCAAAAATGTGCAATATGCAATCTTTTTAACCTTTATTTAGGTTATTAATATTGTATCAGAATAATAATTCAACCCCTGGATTATGTCAGATTTTGATGCATTTTAGAACTAGATTAAGATAAAGATAATCAGATAAAGAGTTTATTGTACAGTAAGGAATGTTCAAGAACAGTGTATGCATTTAGAAACAAAATAAAGTGTAGAAACAATCTTCACTCAGTCATAAATGCATGTCAATGTCAAATAATTACAAAGAAAAAGCCAGTATTGAATTAAGTTCTACATTTTGTTTTAAATTAAAAAGACTATATTTTAATGTCCTTGTTCAGCTTTAAAATTAGTAAAACATCTTAAATGTTTGCATGGAAAGCAATCACCAAATATTTGAACTAGAACCTACAGTATATATGCAAATTAGACTCACTTCCTCTGTCATTAGTCGACACGTCTTATTCAAAGTGAATTTTACTCTATAAATAGTATAATAATTGCTGGAGCAACCTCAGGTTAAGCACCAGGCTTAAGGAAATAGCACTGGCTGATTGGATATGCTGTCTGAGGAATATTCAGACACAAAATAATTGAATTAAAACACTGCTAGAATCCATTATTCTGATTAAAAGTTTATATCTGCCCAGATTAATATGTAGTTATATTCACATTTTACACAGTGATCCATCATAATGCTGATTAAAACAGCCCTTGTACTTTCAAAGTCACAAATTGCTGCAATTAGTTCAAGAGAGCTTTTCAACAGGTACAATAACTAATTAATAACTACTGGGAATTCAGTAAACTAGTTTTGGAATTCAATGAAAAATAGCAAAAACATTTACCTTCATGCACACAAATCTATTTTTAATGAAAGATTTTTCAGATTTCTTATTTTAAAAGAAACAGTTATTTTAAAATATTGCCATTCAGGTCTTTTGGGGGGAGGGAATGCCTATTCCTTATATTACAATTGTGTAAAGAGTAAATGTTTATAAAAATAAAACTAATTAATTTTCTTTGAAAACTGTTAAAATTCATTCATTCTCCTTTGGCTTAGTCCCTTATTTATCACTGGTCGCCACAGCGAAACGAACCAGTGCTAACCAGTGTGCGAAGACAATCAAGGGGTTCAACATTTTCAGTATGTTACTTTGTGTAATACATGCTTCAGTGAATCAAATGTATGTATTTATTTAAATTATATCTAATTTATTAAAAAAAATATACTGAAGTTTTTCAGTGTTTTGTGGGATAGGCTATTTAGTGTATTCTGACCTGATTAGCTAGTTTTTGGCTTACTTTAGGTCAAACTATACAAACTATGCATCTATGCGTCTTGTGAGGTCTTACGGTGCTCTAAATCTGCCTATTTCAGACTGTGGGATGACTTTTTCTCTCATAGACCGATTGGCGCAAGTATGCATACACAGTGGTATGAACCGTTACAGGGGTGGTCAAATACATAACTATTATTTTAATTATTAACATTATTATTTAAAATACAGATTTAAAATACAGTGAACTTTTTCTCAGATTCAAAGAGACTCCCATACATCTTGTTTTGATGTCCTTTTGGGGGGACCAAGCCTTAATTAGGGTGGTCAATGCCCCCCGAACACCCCTGTAATTTGCACCCCGGTGCTAACCACTGAGCCACCGTGCCACCCAACTGTTAACATAAACATTTTTCTTTATTTTTATCAACCCACTTCACTTGCTTTTCCACAACATTGTTTATTTTATTTTTTTTGTCTGTTAGTTAGTTAGTTAGTTAGTTAGTTAGTTAGTTAGTTAGTTAGTTATTCATTTATTTATTCATTCGTTTATTTAATTATGTGATTCATGTAACATTCTAAATTTAGTAGAGTTTCCCTTTCATCTTTTTTAAAGGGTCAAGTGCAGTTATAACATGGTTGCATGTAAAACATTGATTTTCTTCACATTCGTTCAGGAATGAGAAGTAACAGATTCAATGTGGTTTTAGCTGAAAAATAATGAGCTGTGACCATTTTATAACCATTTTACAAATAATTCTCCCAGTCAAAATGGATCCAGAATGTAAACCTCACATGCAAATTATAAATCCGTTATGAGGCTTATAAATATGGCAGTGGTCAAGTGTTCCTCAATTCAATTAAGCTGAGATAAAAACGGTCTATAGAGACGTAAATATACGCATCTGTGCAAGTGACGCAGGATTCGACATGATAAATAAGCTCATTTCTGTGTCTCAGAGCAGATCTCATTCCAATCATTTTCCATTTACACTAACTAAATCACATTTAGAGAGAAAGGCTCACTGTAATATCTGTGTTGACACCATTGAGGGTCAGCTGCCCCATTTCTGATTGTTCAGAGATTGATTTATTCTCTCTCCCATATTGTCATTCCATGCACATGGCGTTTACACTGATTTCACTACACTGATTCATGCCATTAAATTACACATCATGTTGCCTTTTATTCAGCACATTTGAGAAAACACACTTTACTACTCTAACAAACATCCATTCATTAACAGCTGCCTGTAGCTTGTGATTCATGGGTGTTTTCTGTTAATTTACACTTTCAAAATGCATTAAAAGACCTTGATCTCTTCTCTGACAAGAGTTAATGAGGAAACTTTAACTCCTGACAATTTTAGTCAGTCCAAACATTATAATACATAAGAAGCAACATGTATAGGAACTGGAAAATTACAGAAAAAAGTAGGGCAGTTTATTAGTCAGTGTTTATATTGAAATTTAGATGACCAAACAATACAATACAATTAATTTAAATTACTAAAAATATCAATAACAGTCATTTTGTTAAACTGTCAACAATAAAAGCTACCGTAAAATAGATCTCATTATTCAATTTAAAAATCAATCAGTAAAAAATGTGAAACTGTGCAAGCATCTATTAAAATGACTGTCAAATACAGCATGATTACTGTATTGTTAGTCGCCGTTATTATTCTGTGCATTAATTTTACTGAGTCATTTACCATCATTACTGCTTTTTATAGCCTTCACCAAGCAATTAAGGTCTGACCTGAGTTGCTGAGTTTATGTGCAAGATGCATCTTCACTCTTGGGTTTTAAGATGTTAAGGTCACATGAAATTGAGAGGCAAAAGAGAATTTTAATTGCATCAGGATTCAAGGGTTGGGTCAGCGAGGGCAGGTCTATTCTTATGTAGATTTTTACCTTTGGGTACCATTGTACTTATTCAGATCTGACTCCAAATACAAAGCCATTTTTATGGCATCTATTTCAATTGCTATTGAAAACCCTTGACTTGCACTTTTTCATTAAATGCTAATAGGTGCCCTTGTGGCTGTTTCATTTTTCATAAAGGAGAATCTGCTGTTTACAAACAAGCATTGAAGCAGAAATACACCTTGGAAAGAGCTGGTTGCTTCAGATTTTTGAAATTGGTGTTGGTTTTAATTCCACTACGCTAAGCCTCAAATGTCTGATTTGACCTTTTCCCAACAATAAAATGTTAATTAATTCATTCATAAATTAGTTCTCTGTAATATTCGACTTGGATCTGATTAATCATGCTGTCCACTTGTCAGATATTTCCAAAAATGTAATGCTGCACTGAATTTCAGGTCACTCAACCTGATAACTGAAATCAACTTTCAAATTTTTCGAATCATACCATTCACTCGCAATGTTGGAGAGCAGCTCAGCTAATATAGTAGCTACATTTTGTAGTAGTTTAAAAGTAGTTCAGCTATACTAATGATATAATGTAGTTTTCAGTTGCTATAACTGATATACTTTTTCCAGCAAGTTGTTGAAAAGCTTGAGAACAGCTATATTCCATAGTGAACCTGCACAGCATTGCACAGCATATAATGTTCTAACATTTATTTACTGGTTAATTTATTACTGTCATTTTGTAAATGATAGTTTTAA